GAGCACAGTTCTACTCTGACACACACAGAGGGCACCATGAGTGGGATCTACTTATGAAAAATCATCCACTGAGAACCCTGTGGGCACAGTTCTACTCTGACACACACGGGCACCATGAGTGGAATCTACTTATGAAAAATCATCCACTGAGAACCCTGTGGGCACAGTTCTACTCTGACACACATGAAAGCACTCTGAGTTGAAATGGGTCTTTGGTTTCAGACCCAAGGGGCCCTCAGTCTTTGTTGCTCACTAGCCTGACAGACTGAGGGTTGTGGCTGGTGTTTCAGTATTCATCTGGTAACCAAAACATGAGCAGTTCAAACCTGCCAGTGGCTCAGATGGAGAAACATGAGGCCATCTGCTTTCATAAAGGTGTCTAGCCTTGGAAACCCCACGGGGCAGTTGTACTCAGCCTTTTAGGGTTGTGATGAGTCAATCCATGGCAGTGGGTTTGGTTTGAGTTGGGCTTTAGGGTGATTCGGCATTTCCCTAGAAGGATAGAGCCCCAAAGAAGGGCAGATGGGGCAGGAGGCAGCCCCCCAGGAAAGAGTGATCAGTGTTATTAGGTAGGGCATGCCTGTCTGTCTGTCTATCTGTCTGCCTACCTTCTCTCTCAGGATCTCAGCCTTTTTCAGATTCCCCCCTCCACTCCCCCAACACACACAGTCCTGAAAATTCATCTTTTCACAGAGGAATCTGTTGGTTGTATTTTTCAAAGGCACTACCCTTAGTACAAACCCATTACTAGAGAGTCTACTACACAACTGTTGTGAAGTGCCGTCAAGTCGGTTCCGACCCATGTTGTTAGGTGCCATTGAGTCAGCACCGACTCATAGTGACCCCATGCACAGCAGAACACTGTCCGATCCTGGGCCAACCTCACTACCGTTGCCACGCTTGAGTCCATCGATGCTGCCACTTGGCCAATCCATCTCTCTGGGGGTTTTCCTCTTTTTCTCTGACCCTTCACCTAACCGAACATGATATCCTTCTCCAGGGACTGGTCCCTCCTGACAATATGTCCGAAGTATGAGAGACGAAGCTTAGCCATCCTGGCCTCCAAGGAGCACTCTGGCTGCACTTCTTCCAACACAGATCTATTGGTTCTTTGGGCAGCCCATGGCACTTTCAATATTCTCCTCCAACACCGTAACTCAAATGCTTCAATTCTTCTACGATCTTCCTTATTCACTGTCCAGCTTTCGCATCCATATGAGGTTATTGAAAACACCATGGCTTGGGTCAGGCACACCTTAGTCCTCAAGCTGACATCTCTGCTCTTCAACACTTTAAAACGGTCTTGTGCAGCAGATTTGTTTAATGCAATACATCGTCTGATCTCTTGACTGCTGCTTCCATGAGAGTTGATAGTTGATCCAAGAAGAACAAAGTTCTTGACAACTTCAGTCTTTTCTCCCTAGATAAGAATGTTGTTTACTGGTCCAGTAGTGAGGATTTTTGTTTTCTTTACATTGAAATGTAATCCATACCGAAGGCTGCGCTCTTTGATGTTAATCAGTAAATGTTTTAAGTCTTTTTCACTTTCAGCAAGCAAGGTTGTATCATCTGCATATCGCAGGTTGTTAATGAGTCTTCCTCCAATCCTGATGCCATGTGTTTCTTCATAGAACCCAGCTTCTTGTATGATTTGCTCAGCATACAGGTTGAATAAGTATGGTGAAAGAATACAGCATTGTCACACACCTTTCTTAATTTTAAATCATACGACCCATAGCGACCCTGTAAAGGGTTTCCGAGGAGCAGCTGGTGAGCTTGACCCACTGACCTTGCGATTCAAACGGCTTTGCAGTCTGGCACATTAACCCACAGCACCACACCAGGACTCCATAAACATACTTCTCAGCTGTACAAACTTCATTCTCTCCTCAGGCCCCAGGGCTTCTGTTTGCCTCCAATGGGGGGACATGTGAGCACTTCCAACAGCTTCAAGTCCCTGCAATGCACCCATGCCAATTGGATGTCGGAGCTGCACCCTGAGCTGTGGGACGTGCCCCTGCACCACCTGTCCATCCCAGGTGAGCAGGCACAGGTGCACACACACATATGCATATACACACTCACACACA